ATAAAGCTCTATTTTCACTTAAGCATCAGGTGCTCATTCAGCCATAAGGAAATGTGAAGCTATAGCCACGCCAAAAGGTGGCCAAAAGACTAAAGTATAAAGAAACCAGCAGACAATGTAGAGAAGACAGTAAAATAGCACTTTCTTGTCCCCAAAGAAGTAAAAAGAAATTTGTAATTAAATTGATACTTATTTCAGCAAATAAATCAGTCTGTGTTCAGTGTAAACCACACAGCTAATCAGGCACAAAATATTCCACACAAATAAGCAATCTAATCTCCCTAGGAACATAAAAGGTGGGTACAGCAAGTTTTTTAAGTCCTTTGTATATAACAACACAGCATGTTCTTGGGTATTTGCTGTCCACATTACAGGCTATGCACTGGCAATCAGCCACTCATTCCAGCTGTCTTCCAGGGCATAGAGTGTGCCTATGTGACATTCCTCATTTCTCCTGGGCCTGGGATGCTCCTGAGGGCAGTCTCCATTTCTGCCGAGGATCCTGTCAGTGGCCAGAGTCCATTCCCTGTGGTGCAACTTTCCCAGTGCAGGGCAGAGAACAGATATCATTAGGCTATGGCATTTGCCATACTGACACCCCCAAACTTTGGAAGCAGTACTATTTTGCCTTCAGCCCTTCAGAGACTCTCTCTGGCAGAAGGATGTGACCAACAAATCTAACATGGAAAGCTCCACAAGTCCCCATGTTGTTCATATGCCGCCTGACCGCTGTCACTGGGACCGAAAGCGAGAGGTCTGGTTCATGAATGCCTGTTCTGCTCAGAGCCTTGGACTCAGCTCTGGGTGTCAAAGCCACATTCCAGGTTTCTGCTATGCTGGCCAAAAGAATGGAGTGGTCCTGTCTGACTTGTACTCTGAAAGGACTCAAAGAGCAAAAGCAGAGCATCCCAAGAGTCAAGATGGTGCAACATGATCTTGCAGTGTGCTCTGTGTGATGGCAATCACAAGGAGGAACAGAGTGGCAGCAAGAGCTGAAGGCCAATGGCAATGCCCAAGGGTACAGTTCCTGTGACTTGTGCGGAACTTTTCTGCTTTACAAGTGAACAGAAACCCTGTCTGGCATGTGAGTGGCAATTGAATGCTATTAGGAGTTCTAGAAAAATCTCATTCATCTGAAGAATGGCTAAGGGAGCATTGCTGGCTTTCATGGCTGGAGCTTCTGAATCAAAATTTACCTGATCTTGGGAGGGGTTGGGTGGGATGGGGAGGAGGTGCAGTGAGACATCAAGTAAACATGTGTCCTGCTCTCTAAGGAGATTTCCAGATCCAAAGCACCGTTTTCTCTTTGGCACCTCCCAAGTCATCTGCAGGTTCAGAAGAAAGAACCTGTTATGATCTCCTAGTGTCTTCTTTCTCTCTCCAGCATAATTTTATCCTTTGAGTAGGATATTCTTTACCTGAAGCTATCTGGTGGCTAGGCAAAACACACAGTCAATGGGGACACTGGTGTCCCAACCATGTCTGCTAGCTAGCCAGGAGATAGCAAAGAGATTTTTTTTAAGTAGATTTAAACAAGACGTAGGTGAATGTCAAACTGCCTCTATGGATGTTTCTCAATTTCCTACCACTTCTTGTACCTACAGTAGGCCAGGACAGCCACTTAAAGGCATTCACATTCTGATTAAGCAAACAAGCCTGCGAGTGATAGCACCTCCTTCGGTCACTGGTCGCAAAAGACACTGTGCAAATGCATTTCCAAGCAAGAACAAGTCTTTCTGATTGATTAATTCACTTCATATTTGGTTACTTTCTTAGAAAAGGAGTATTGTCCCATAGTCAATAGCCAACCAGGAAGCAAACTTACATAATCAAGCTCATTTGACAATGTGCTTGAACATTGCCATTGAGCGCATGCAATTAATTCGGCAATTAACCCACGCTTAGGGGGTGGAGGTGCTGCCTCAAGTCACTATGGTGCCCTGATTCACTGTAAGGGACAGCATGTCCCTCCTAGCTCTGGAACTGCATGACATCTGCCTACAAGCTAGAGGGGGCCTGTGGAGGGGATAAGCACTGTCCTGTGGGGCAGTTAAGTGTAGAATGAAACAGGGCTCTTTTTCCAAAACGCAGACTTACCCTAAAGGACACAAAAAAGAATACTGAGTTGTCTAAAACTTGCTCAGTCACTGGCATCAGACAAGTACATTGTATGAAAATAGAAATGAATGAAACTATGAAAAGAGTTCTTTGTCTATTTTTATTGATTTGGGCCACCTAGGCACAGAGTCCTTTTGCATTGCTTTCGTCGTTGACTCTTGGCAGGTACTCGATCTCCCCAGATTCCATTGTAATTCTCATGAAGACCTGTATCAAGTTCCTTAGAGAAAAAGATCAGTGGAAAACCAGTATTTTCTTATTAATATCATTACACACCTCTTGTCATTGGTGAGGGTCTGCGTATTTTAGAATGAGCTTTGTGTTCCAAAGCAAACTGAGATCTAGAGTGGCGATAAGTAGACAAAATTCTGGTGACTCTGTATCAAGATAAATAAGTAATGAATAAAAGAGAAGGACAAAAATAAAAATGTTTTTCTTCTTTCATTAATTGAAACAATTGCATTTCAAAAGGAAAATTAAATTTTGAAACTACCCATAAGGGTGGCTGCACATCTCAGTGGATGGACTGTGCTGCTGGGAATCTGCCCCTCTGCTTTAGAGGTAGTGAGCTAACCAGGGTGGACAGTGTTTGCCAGCAATCCTCCCTGCCAGTCACAAAAGGAGAAAGCAAGTCTGGGATGTCAACCTCTAGAGAATTTTTCGTCTCTGTTTGGATAGCTTGTTTAGATAGCAGACAGGGACTGCTGAAGCCGCATTCGAAGCTGCCAGCCTGTCCCTGCCTTTATGCAGCCTCAGTTTTCAAAGCTCTCCTACAATACCCCTACAAAAATCTCATTTCATTCAGATTTCATCACTGTTCCTCTACTGTTCTGTCCGTGTTGCAAGCAGGGAGTGCCAAGCAGCCAGTTCGAGGTCAGACAGGGCTGTGTGGCCACATTGCACCTGCCTCTCTTGCACATGCAAACACGTGAGGATGGGCAGCTCTCTGTGCGGTTAGCCCACTGTACGGGCAGGAAGCAGCTTGTTGCTCTTCATGCCATCCTAGTATCTAGAAGTATAAAATCAAATAAGAGAGCCTCTAAATTCAAAATGTAGAAGAGAATCCTGGGCAGACTTGAAGCTTATACTTTAACTTAAATCTATTCCTCTTCCTGATGGTAAATACTTTCCCAGTCCAAGACTGAAGGGACCACCATGACATAGGGAAGTGGACTGGGTCTCCTGTAGATGCTTAACCAGAAGGGAGGGACCATAACCCATGTGCACTGACATGTGCACATGAGCTGGTCGGCAGGAAAGCTGTGTGTGGCACCTTCCCCATCTCCTGATGGCCACAGAGCTGTGCTGAGTAAGCAGCTGGCTGCAGCTGGAGACACACCACATAGCTCAGCTGATTAAACATGGGCTGAGGTCAGTGAGGAGTTATGAGAGTGACTCATTTTTCAGAAATTACCCCAGTATGACTGGGGACATTGGACTTAGATAGGCAGGTGGAACATAAGATTGACACCTTACATAGTTAAATATCACCTGTCATCTTAGGTCCGTTTTCATGTAGGCAAAACTGTGTTTCAGCAGTAGGCAAGCAGACTTTATCTCGTTGGCCCTGCAAATGCCATAGGTTTGCCAGGAGTTGACTTTGCTGCACTGTTGTCAGTTGTGATACAGTTTACCAACCCGTCATTGCTAGTTTATCACATGCAGCAGTTTATTTCTTATGTGCCGGGTTTCAGAAATAGGGCAATCCATTTGTTCTCTAAGGAAATGTTACTGTAATTTGAAGAGAGGATGGCAGGAGTAACTCCATTAGCCTGTGCTTGTAGTGTCTCTTGAAGCTGCAAGGACTGTATAGAGCAAGAGCTAAAGCCTCTAGCCTTCACCTGCTAATGGGTTTTGTTAAAAACTGGAAACTCATCTTGAACAAATGTGAACCTTTTTCTGATTTGTGCTGAGCTGTGTAGCCTTGCCGAAGTTTTAATGTGTGAGACTGAAATGCCTAGGGTCACCAGAGCTCTGAGACACGTAACCTGAATCTCACTGCATGAAGAAAAATTGTGAAATACCAAGAATCAGTGTTTCCTTGGAGCATTCTTTCCCAGAGAGAGGACACCTTGAAAGCAGAGCCAGCCCATTCTTGAACAAGGAGTTTGTTTCATGCACAGGAACTCTTATTTTTTGATTCAAGCTAAACTTTTTTTTTCAAACATGGTTCTGGATCAGCTGTTGTATCAAAGCAATACACAGTCTACACGTGTTTGCTTTTGGTATTCAGAGCTAGTTGCTCTTGCTTAGTGCAAGCGGGTTGCCTGGTAGCAGGGAGCTATTACAGAGCTCTACACTGTTCCCATCATGGTAGCTCAAGGATGGGAAAGACAGGATGGTGGGAGAGTGGATGATTCTAGGAGAAGGCTCTGGCTATTTGTAGCTCCTTCCAGCTCCAGAAAGTGAAGCATTGATGGAGAAGGAAACAACAAACCCCAGACATGAGGTAGCAGTATCTGAAACTGTGGGAACTGTAGGATTACAAGGACCTGTTTGTGTTCAACAGCCTCAAAAGGAGCAAGTTCTAGCTGATTTCTCTAAAGGGAAGTAGGAGTGCTGGAATCTGAATTAGCTACTTGTCATCAGGAAGATCCACCATCCTTACAGACTGTATAACACAGCTTGGGAGAGAGACGCAGCACTGGGAATTCCAACCATGGATATACTTTGCCAGTCTTTCCAGGCTGCTCCATTTACAGCTAGCTGCCAGCAGTCACTCATCTGTCAGTTAGGGGACAAGAGAACCATTCATGCTTCTGTAGCTTGATTTTATGCTTCTGGACACTCGGAATCAGGGGGCAGGAGCGAGTCAGTCCTTCCTTTTTCTAAAGTCTCTGGAACAGTCCTATCGCTCAGCTACAACTGTCCTGGATATGTTTCCTTCAGAGTGTGTTCTCATTGCTGTCAAATGTTGGATTGCTGTGACCTCCCATATTTTCATCTATTGATATTGCAACAGAATCTGAGAAGAAAGTTTCATTCAGAGGTGGCCAGGATGAGTCCCTCTCTAACATTCGTTGCAGCCTCTTGTAATGGCTCTTCGAATAGTACCTGAAGGTCTTTTTCAGCAGCAGCCACAGGGCTCTGTTCTCAATGACAGCTTCCTGTAAAAGCAAGAGCAGATGAAAGATTTTAGAAGACCCTCTTCATTCTCAGGACATATACAGGGAAAGTACTGGAGAGTCGGATCTCCCACCATGTCCTGCTTATTTAGAGTTCTCCACTGGAAAGCAAGGACTGGTTCCTCCTGACAGTTTCCAGGATTTGAGTAGAAAATATTAAACATTTCCCGTATTTCCCTGACCTGGGGAGGGGTCTGTTACATTCTGTTCGTCGTTGGAAAGAAAAGGTAGTTAGGGACATGCTTACTAATATCTGATCATTCTGATGTGGGGCTTTGAGAGCAGAGGGAGACTTTGAAGGGAGAGAGGACGCATAAGGCAATGGCTCCTGTTTTACAAAATATTTCCAAGCTAGCCTGAGAAGGTTGGAGAGAGGGTGAGACCTGACCCTTTCTGCTCTCCAAATAGTGCTGATAGGTATGTTGAAAGCAGCTCACTCACCTCAGTTATGAAGGACACAGCAAGTGTCACTGCAAGAATTATCACCATGAAGACTCGCCATGTGGTGGGAGTGCAGACAAGCTGTAAAGAAAGCAGAAGTGGTGCTTCTTCAATGTGTGTATGAGCTGGGTATGGGTATTTAAACTTATAAGAGAAAACTGTACTCCAGAACTACTACAGAAAACCTAAATGATTTCTTTCTTCTTAAAATAAGAAATGGGCCTGAGTATTTCAATTCTGTCCAGCTTTCCATAGCTCGGACACTGGGTTTCTGGTTGTAGCTCAACTTATTTCAGAGACATGGTTCAGATCCAAAATTTGGATCAGCAGTTTCTCCAGCGCTAGGCTACTTCAAGCTTTTGTCTTTTTGCCACTGCCTCATTTTCTCTTCCCAGCAAATCCAGTACATTCCCTCCAGACAGACTGAGCGTTTTGCAGTTCTTCCCAAAGCCATTTTAGTTCCTCAGAGCTGCAATCTTGACAATGTCCCTTGTCACCACAATCCACAACAGGACTAAGACTTGCCTAAAAGTGCCATCTCGTGGCTGAGTCCTTTAACTGTGTCTTCTTGTGGAGCTTCTGTTCTGGGAGCTGTTACACAGTGAGGCAGCCATAGCTAGACTGCTTGGCAATCAAACTCCAGGTCTGTTCTCCTGGCCTATCTATCTGTTCCTACATTTCATTATTCCAATTTCTGGATCCTCTTTCCAACACTTAGAATTATCACAATTTGTGTGATTTGTTTTGTTCCTATGATGCCTACTACAAGGCTGTACAAGAGTCACAGAGAAGAGGTTAACATTTTCCTTCCAATTTTAGTGTGAATGTACTCATATCAGTTTTACTGAAAACCTCGTCCTGTGGTTGACATAGCTCTCCATGGTATCTACCCTGGGATACATTTGTACATGGCAACTCCCAACCTGCCTTCTGTCAGGCTCTTTATATCTTTGAACACAGATGCTCTATTCCCATGACAATCTCACTAGTCTTTCACCACAACTGTTCTAAACCCAAATGATGCTTTAGGAACCTGTGGGCTCCACCCAGATCTGAAATCTAGACAGGATGTCTGAAAATGTGAGAAACTGGGAACCAAAAGCTGCAGTGAGTACAGCCTGGCAGAATTTCTGCATGTATTTTGCCTGCAGAGCAAGTACAGCCTGAGAAGCAGAAGAGCATAGTACTTCAGCTTAATTTCAAGGGCCCAGCTGCTTTCTTCCCCTGGCCTCGCTACTGAAGACCAAGCCACCAACGTATCAAGCATGATAAGTTCATCATCGTGGACTTCTGTTGGATGGCCAAAGCACTGAAACAATCAAACTGAGGTGCTTGAATAGACAGCTGGGTGTCAGAATGCACATATCTTTGTTTGTTCGATATCCTCCTAATAGTTGTGCAGCTAGCATATTCTCAGAATGTTCTCCATTCTCGTAATCTAAAATCCACTTTTTGACTTGTCTTTAGAAACGCTGTATATCCCTGCTAAAGTCTATGCCTTGTGCTAAAAACAGTCCTAGTACACTTACAGTGGGTTGACAGTAATATGAAAACCTGCCCTGAATCATTACTTACATCCATCTTTGAGTAGAGACCATCAATATCAGCAAACACCAAGAAGAGGCAAATACCCAGCTGCACTGTGAGCACCGGTACAAATACATCTGAAGGGATGAGAGAAAACAAATAAAACCCTGGATTTACAAGCATTCTCAGCTGCTTTCCTTTGCTGAAGAGGAATGTAGACACCATTTTCTGTGTCAAATGTTATGCAACTCTGGATGTTTTATCTTTAATGGAGACAGTGGTCATAAAATTATGGTCAAGAGCAAAGTGACTAAATCTAAATCTAGTTCTTCTCTACTTAAGATGTACCAGTCGAGTTCTCTTTAGTAACAGGACACTTCTGCCAGTCAACAGTGCCTGCCTGCTGCTTGTTAACACTTTTGATTTTTTTGCTTCAGAAATCCAAACGCCAGGGCCAAACTTGCAGCAGTGCAGAAGCACTGTGCTTGACACTGAAGCATCAGCCCGGCTCAGAGCGGTGCCGACCACAGGATGCAAATGAGACCGACACTTCAGAAAAGGTTGTCATTAGGCAACAAAATAGAGATTTAGGAATGTTATATTGGTCTCCTGCTGTTTTAGCTGGTATCGCTTTGGTCAAGTTTTAATTTTTCTCTAGTGAACTGAGCTCCTGAGCTGAGTGTGCCACAGATTTCTTCCCATACTTACAGTTTGTGTAGACAGGCTGCCTGAAAGGTTTTCCTTTGGAAAAAACTAGTGCTACGATGAGGCAGTTGATAGTACTTAGCAGCCACACTGTGGTGTTTTCATAGCTCTTATAGCCATTGTCCACTTCCCTCAAGGCTCCGTCTCTCATCCCATGGAAGTCAAGGCTGGAAATAGTGGAAGAATTCTTTGCATAGCTGTCATTTCCTGAGAGGCAGGCACTGTAAAAAAGTCACTCTGATTAGCAAATGATCATCGCCTAGTTATTTCTCCCTGCTTCCACTATCACTATCATGAATCCTCATACTTCCCATGCTATCACAAGGATGTGGGTTATTACTAGTGCCCTCAGTCTCACCCACTGGGTTGAGTTTGCTGAACTTGGCAGTCTGAGTTCAAACCCGCTTGGATACCCTGACCTCCCCTGCAGTCAAATGCTCCTCTTTATGCTCTGCAGAAATAATCTCACTACAAATACTGTGCTGCAAAGCAGACTTTCTGGAGAAGTTGGGACCTGCAGACATCACCATTTACTTAGCACACTATGGGGGAATAGAGGGGCTGCCTGCAGATGCAGAAGAGCATCATGGTCAAGCTGATGAACAGTATCATGCAGAGCTGCCCCACTGCATCCTCCTGGGTCCCCCATAAGTCAAAGAAGGGGACTTACCTGTGTATATTGGTCTTGGAATACCAGGGCTGCTTCTGGACCACGACAAACCCTAGAATTTGGATGCTGAGACTGAAGAAGATGTTAAGTATGACGGAAAGCAGCAACGGGGGTGAGACGAGCTGGCTAGGAGGTCTGTAGGGAACCAGCTTTGGATAGGCATCTGTGAAACTCACTGAAACATGCATAGACATTGTTTACTAGTGTGCCCAAAATACCAGCAGTGATGCTGTCTATTATTGACTGCTATTAATGGCCAGCTCTTTTTAGTTTACAAGGTTCACTGTAGCATATACCGATACTATTTCAATTACAAATTATAGTTATTTTCTCATCAAATCTTACTGGCCACAGAAGAGGTTAATTAATGTTACTTGACTCTTGTTAAGCATTTTTGGAAAAAAGGAGTTGAATCTTGATTTTACTTGTCTTTGTTCAGGTACAAGGATATAAAGATATGCTCATATTCTCCTGTTCTCTCTGTTATTTGTTGTCATCTGGGGTTTGGGATAGATTGCTGTGCATGTCCCCTCTATCCTTCTGGTCCTCCTGGACTGTTGCTTGTTTATTTGAGCTTGTTGAGGACCCAAAAGATTTCCCTTTGTTTTAAGTTTAAATCCTCTTCTCTAAGGTTTCACCACATCAGTTAGGCTTACTGAGCCTTTGAGTGAAGTTATGATACAGAAAGCCTTGATGCAGGGTTGCAAAATGGACTACTTATAGCAAGATAGCTTTCATCACCCAGTGTGGTGACTCACCCTTTAGGACTGATTTAATCAAGACCTTTTCTAGTTGTCTGTGAACCCACAGGAATGGAAGACAATTCTGTGCTTTTGACATACTTTTCATGCCCCAGGCCTTGCTTTTTCTAATCCTTTCCCTTCCCCCCACCCTTAATTTACTCTATCCTGGCAACCTGCCTCTTTCCTTTCCCCTCCTTGTCCAACCCTGGTCTCCTCTCTCATTCTTTGCTTATAATGTTCTCCTCTGAAGTGTCTGACATCTGCCACTTTTTTCCTGCCCGTTCTCATATCTCTTTCCTCTTTCCTTTTGTGCTCCCTGTCTACATGGCTTCACAGCCTGGAATGCAATTTGGTCTCCATACAGTGCAACCTCTTTTCTTTCAGCATGGATCCTTCACCATTTTTGTGATCTGGCTTCTCAAGTCCACAAGCCAAAAAAAAAAAAAAAAGCCTGAATGTTCCTCTCTACTTCATTAGGTCTGTTTGTTCTCTTTCTCTCTAGAGAAAACCTCCCAGTCATCAACAACTTACATGCTCAGCAACTCCATTGCTAAGCATTGCCTATTTTTAATTCAGAGCTTTCTTTTCTCAAACAAGAAGCCTTCTCTATTGATCCAATATTCCTGTAGCATGCAGTCTCTCTCTTTTCTCATTGCTATACATCGGATTATGCATTTCTGGAGAAATGAAAAATATCTGAGATCCGCTCTCTCACTAATACATAAGATGACTAAGGAGCTTACTTGTCACACCAATTACAGTGGTAATAGCCAGATCTTGGAATAAAAATTGGTAATTCCCGAAGGAGTTTAGTTGCTGAAAAGAGAAAAACAATGAAAATGAAAATCACAAATCAGACATTTGCCATGGCCCTACTTATTTCCAGAAGCTGTATTATTTTCATGGAGCTAATGCTCTGCTCTTTTTTCTGAAATTCCAAGAATATACTATTCGGGAGATAAGGGGACCACACAACCCATCACCCTGCCAATATATTCATCGTTATTGGGCCAGCAGTGAATATTCTTATTTTGTGCATTGTTTAGGCTAATGATGCTTCCAATTCACTCAGTGTAACAGGAAAAGAATCCCATTTGAAGAGATATATCCTTTCCCAATGCTGCATGACTTCTGACTGCAAAACCCTCCTCCCTAATTGGGAAGAAGCCATACAGAAGTGGCTTCAGGCACCCTGGGGAATCTACTTACCGTTAAATTAATTCATGCTTTAAACGCTGAATAAATTGCAACCTCATAAGCTAATATCAAATCCTCCCTTTTCACAAACATATTACTTCTTCTGAACTACTGCTCAATATCCCATCTTCCCTTTTGTCTAGCTGGGACCCGAATCCGTTTGTCTGAAGGTAATAGGAAGAAGCTTTCCAATTTTCAAACGAGGATACAGAAGGATCACACGATAGTCAAGACAGAGCGCGAGAGGAGAGGAGAGGAGAGGAGAGGAGAGGAGAGGAGAGGAGAGGAGAGGAGAGAAGTAAGAGTAGAAGAACTCTATTTGCTAATTTTATCGTGGCTTTTATCCTATGTTGACCCACAGGGATAGTCCATCCTTCTAGCCAACAAGTCCCACATTCCCAAGACATACCCAGTACAGCAGAAGAACACCAAGGTACTGGATGATACTGTACAGTGCCATGTACTTGAACATGCAGAAGGAAGTGACAAGGGCAGCACGGCCTTCCCTGTGTAAAAAGGTGAATAAATGACAGCAATTAGGTGATGGGTCGGCCTAGTGCCAATACTCCTGAAATGCTATTGAAAAACAGGACATTTGTCACAGGAGGGAAGTCTCTGCCAGTATTTTGTTGGGAAATGAATTAAATAAAATTTGGTCTGAATGAAAGTAAAAGTTTCTCTTGTAGAAATGCTGCTGCAAGCAAAAGAACTTGATTCCAGACAT